CTTTAAAGATCTGTGTGAATGGTACTTAAATATTCCGTGACGCTTACACAACATATTTGTTATTTAAAAGTATGCCCGCTGAATACCCCCACACTCCGCCCGGGCGTTAATTTTTCCCGCATAAAATATAGTTCTATTCAACATGGCGTGTGTTCGTTGATGAACTTACAAGTGGGTAGACTTTGCAGAGACAGTCTCTCATATTCAGTCCTAACACTGACCTGAGATTTATATATTCGTTTTCAACACTTTAGTGTTTCCCCACGTTTTTCGATCATATTTAATTTTCGTCTTCTGATATTCTCTTAATACTTCCTTTACCGAACTTTTTGGATGTTTTGGTATTCCCCGCGTCAATGTTACTCAACATTATCTACACTTTATTTCTTTATAGTGGGAAATTTCGATCGAAACAAAACAGACAAGTTTATACACGCTCGACTGGTGACAAATACTAAAACCACTGCGGACAGGGGATCCAGAATAATCCAGACTGCAGCTCTCAACTTCTGTATAATAACGCAATTTAATTTTCTGGTTACAGTATTTATTTGTAATCCATCTTACGTGACCGGTCAAAATGACCGGAAAACCGAACGTTTGTACAGAAAAAAAATGAAACAAGTTCCTAATGTCTTTAGGAGTATTCTATGAAAACATTTATAAAGCATCATACATACTGGTTCCTGTTCCAAAGCTAGTGCCAGTGCCGAGAGGTGTATTCGTCGAAGAGCCAAACATCTCCAAAGCTTAGGTTGGTTGTATACTCCAGATAGANGGTTCCTGTTCCAAAGCTAGTGCCAGTGCCGAGAGGTGTATTCGTCGAAGAGCCAAACATCTCCAAAGCTTAGGTTGGTTGTATACTCCAGATAGATCGCCCAGTGATTAACTCACGCCGGTGGAATAAACTCTACCGGCAGGTTAGATAAAAATATTCACTTTCCGCACGTTCACATGATAACAACAAATCCCCGAACAAACACTGTCGCGAGGCAGCGATCTTCCTGAATGTGGTCGTAATCAATGTACTTGTAACTGTACAGGATGATATCAAAATATTGCAAGTTATTGTTACTGAGCCAAATCGTTCACTTTGTGATAAAAGCACGAAACTTTGCCAGATTACTACTTCCGCCTTCTTTTTTCTGTTTACTCAGAGTCTTCATTCCCCTTGACCAGCGGTCGGGGCAGGAGCCATCGATTTCTGGGAAATTATTCTGACTTCCGGTTGGATTTCGTACATACGCTCGAGTTTCACTTCCGGCCATTTTCATAGAGTGTTTTCATTGTCACGCAATAAGACATTAAATCAAAAACTATTTAGTGAATAACGTGAAGAAATTTGCGATATTATAGAAGATAAATAGACAGATAGTCCTCCAAGTTTTAGGTTTCTGCGTTGTTTCTGCGTTTGTTCAGATATTCGTTGATACGTCCGCACAAATTTACAGAGCCCATGGTTTATATCTAAGGCGACTGATTAACGGTAT